AAAGATACACGTAATCGCGACGACGTAATGCGTAAGCCTGTAACCGCGCGTGCATGCGTAGGCGTTCGCACGTAAGACTTCTACTCAGAGGCGTCAGTATGGTAGACGCGTTAGCACGTATAATCCGGCCATCGTACGAGAAATAAATCCATAGGTGTGAGAGTGTCGCTGCCGTTTGGAGTCCGGCCAGAAAACGGAAAAGAGGTGGAGCAGCGAGGGGACCATCGCCCACGTTTCGCGCATACCATGCCGATAAATAATCGTAAGAGTCGTCCAGAGCCGCGACCTGCCAAATTCTCATCCCGCGAACCAATCCATCGCGAATCCTGCGAAGGTCGGCCACGCTGGACGAGATCTATAACGACTTTTGTTTCCACAAAAACTGTGACAATTGCGACAGAAACGACTGGCGGCGATAATAATGACGGGAAGTGGATAAAATTGATGTACGGTCCACCTGTTAGCGCACGTTTGTAATATATATTTCGCCCTCGCCTAGGTTAGATTTATAACGTTTACGCAGTAAATCCGAAATCGCTTAAAAGAGTTGATCTTTAAAAGCCATTTAAATCTATGCTGACGTGGGCAGCGCCGCCCGTCAATGTCCCGAAATTCTTAGACCTATTTTCATAATATTTGGACGCGGCATTCTTTCCTGGCTCTGCTATTGACTGCTTCGCTGGCCGGGTTGGAGCGTCGGATTTAGGAAACGATTAATCACATCTGTGTTCCGATTATACGCACACATCCCGTATAAGCACTGAACGGAATGAATTTGTGTTCGATCTATTGTCAAGACTTGCCATAGGACTGCCCAACGCAGTCAGGCTTAAATATAGCCGATGTTTTTCAATCGACAGCTGCTCGACTTGATGTTTATGAGCCATTCGCGTATCTACGAATCATTTTTATGCCGTAGTGAGATAGGCTTACCGGCATGCCGTCTAAAAATTAAACTGCAAAGTCAGATGTCCAGACTAGAGATCCTATGTAACAGAGTTTGGCCATGAGCAATTTTGTCAAAATCCTATGAGAGAAAAAAATATGTATATCTGTTTATCTGTGTATATAAATTGTTTCACTCTTTAATCTTAATTAACCTTTCGCTGACAATAGGAATTTTTATTTCTTTTAATTCTTTCATTTCGGTAACAGGGATCTTTAAAAAATAGAGCAAATTTTTTATTGTTCCAGATTGTATAAAAATTAAAAAAATTTTAATATAGGTACTTGTCAAAGCTTCAATAACAAATTTTTATCATTATAAAAATGTTATATTTTACTTATTTTTGCAGATTTAAATTTATCTACCAAAATTCACAACCAAAATATCGATGACCTTTAGAGCAGAGTATGCTGTATATTTCAAGATTATATTTACATGAAATTTTTATGTAAACACGAATTTTTTTCATAGACAATGTAAGCAATGTAAAATATCATAAATCAAATCAAAATTATCATAAATCTGATAATATTAGCGATGATAAATAAAAATATATAAATGAGATAAAAACTTTATAAGCTCATAACGAAGAAGATGGCTTCGGTGATTCATAGATTGTTTACATTGTATATACGTAAATGTATATTATTATATTTTATGTGTAAAGTGAGAGTATGAGACAGTATAAAGTTAGAAACTGAACAGAATAAAAAGAATAGAGAACAGGAAACGGAATTCAAACATAATGTTAACGTAGAATAGTTCTGCTTCTTAACGATATTTCTCTGTCCTTCTATTCTCTGTTCTTCTTTTCCCTATTTCCTGTTTCTTATTCTCTTTTCTCTGTTCCACATTCACAATTCCTTTTATTTTGCGCAGTCCCTTAGAACGAGATAGTACGTTTTTCTCTCGTATGATTTTGACTCGCTCGTGGCCAGGCTGTGTTATAAGATTTTTAGTCAAGACAAAATCTTCGAGAACGCTACAACGATCATTATAGTGGCTGAATAATTGCCATGAATTTATAAAATAGCGTACGAATGTGTGTTTACGCAATAGCGCGAAGCTGTAAAGCTGTAACTGGAAGGCGCTGGCCATAAATCGAAAAAAGCAACGTGGATTACGAGCAACATGTTCCCGCGAGGAAGATAAATTTAGATCAAGATTTATCGATCGTCTTGTCCGACTCGGGTGATCCATCCCGCGATCATGCGATTGTCAACGCCCACGAGAACCGATGGTTTTATACTTATTGACCGCGAATTCCGTGACCACCGCAAAAAAAAGAATGTAAAAATAAATCATATGTTACGTAGCCGCGCGATATCGAAAAACAAGAAAAATAAAAAAAAGTATCTGATAAAACGAGAATAGAATCGTTGTCACTCGATTATCGTTTCTCTTTTAAATACGAGAAAAGGTGGATGTAAATGAACGATACATTACGCACTCGGTATGAGACAAAGCTTAAGCATGTAACCTTCAACTTTTTCAGCAAAATCACATCATCGTTTCTATATTCGCGAAACGAGTCAATTCGTTTGTTTTATGTTCGTGGAATGTCGATGTAAAATTTTTGACAAGCACATACAAGACGAAAGTTAAATAAGTTTGCAGAAACGTGCAAGAATTTTATGGGTTTTCTACAATAAGCCATTACCTACCTAAGCTTTAAGTCCTAGACCGTAAAAAATGGACCAATCATGGTTGATTATTCTTCTCATATTCGACTGTGACTGATCTTACGGCTTAAAGCTTAGATAATGGCTTATTATAAAAAACTCATTAATAAAAATTATCAAATAAAAAAAGGACCTTCACAAAATATCTAAAATTCAACTGTAAAAAAATCTATAGGTTAGATTAGATGTAATTTTTACACGTGACAGAATTGATCTATTTACGAAATTCCATAATTAATTTAGCTAATTAAAAAAAATCGACACTTAATTAGAAGAATAGGTTTCCCTATAAAAGTGAAAAGAAATTCTCGGCTTTTCAACATCATATATCATTGTGTTTGGCTGAAAGCTTTCTGACATAGATTTCTGACTATCGAGAAAATCGATTTAGCGTACATCCTACATATGTATATAATTAGCTCTTCGAAGAGTCCACGGAAATACAGTTCATTTGTCATCCATGAAGTTTCTTCCTTGGAAACGACAGTCCCTTACCTAGTTAAAGAACGATGTGCATTTTAAACTGTGACACTTATAGCAAATGTATGGCTATATTTTGCAACGGTGTTTATTAAACTATCAACAGATGCAGCAGTAAAGAAAGCGAGCGCGTTCTCGATGTAAAACCGTTGAGGAAAGTAAGTAGGTCAATACCGGGAATCTTAATGATCGTTAGCATATTTGTAGAGTTCGGTATTTACAGGGGAGATTTAATCGCAAAAGAAAAGAATTCAAATAATTCAAATAAATCACCGATTCGGCACTAAGATCTTGATTTTTAAATAAAGCCGTTATCCTAAAAGCTCTTCTAGATCATTCGCGTATAAATTCTGCATAATATTCAGAACTTTCAGAAGATTGACGATAAAATCATGCACGATTGGTGTAAAAACCGATGGTTACAGTACAGGTGGATAACCATCAAGCGTCTACAGATAAGAAGGTGAATAACCGTGGGTAAAAATACTGGCAGAATGGAGTGCAAGAGGTGACGAGGAAAAAAAAGGACAAGATGAGGACAGAGGGATGAAGAGAAAAAGCCCGAGAAAGAGAACGAGATGGGTAGAGGGGAAGGAGTGCAGTTGGACGTGGTCGCCGTCCGATCCGGAATGCGCTTCGCGCATTCATTCGTCTCGGTCTGCCTCAAGCCTGGTCCAAATGTCCGGTCGCAGTCGTGGAATAAATGACCCACAAATAAAATAGTACTATCTCAATTGGTATCCTTTGCGTTTGTGAAAAACTTCATTTTAGTTCCATTGACTTTTAACATGAAGAGTTAAGTCAAGTTGTTTGCTAACATGATAAACGATTAACAAATTAAATGGTACTATCGTAATTTTATTAGACATTAGAATTCTCCATTTCTCAGTTTTATTACACTGTTAAATATTAAACACTGAAAGGATCAAATTTAAACAAATTCCCTAAATAATATTTGTTATTTTTCATTTTCAAGTGTGTGTGAATTATTTTAATACAAATGTGATAAAAAAATAATTATGTCTAATTTCTGTGGTTAAATTGATTAGTTTTAAAATAAATAGTATTTAATATATTTTTCTTCAATTGTTTAATTCCATTGTTTTAGTTAAATTAATGACATATTGAGTAGGAGAAGTGGCGGCCTATAAAAATGATTAAAAATAACTTAAATTAGGTACATGAATTCTCGATGTAATTCTCATTATAAATTTAAATTTGTCCTTTTCTCTCATTTCAACTTAAAAAATCATCAACACATTGCTTTCAGTATACGTGTGATACATTTAATTCTCTAGAATCGATATTCAAATATATAATACAGTTACTGATGCCGGATCTGTAAGACCCATTCAACTATGTTTATTAAAAGGCACTAATTAATTTCAAGGAGCCAAAATGGCAATATTATATAACTCATAAAAAAAATATAAAAAAAAGAAGAAATATCGAGTTATTTTAATAAGAATAAATTCGTAGACGTAAAAAAAAATTTAATTATTTGAAAATTTTACAAAAAGATTTATATTTGAGTGTGGGTCCAATAAATCCACCATCAGCTATGGAGGGTTAATGACGAAGTCAATAAGCGCAAAGAAGCAAGTCAAGCGGAATGTTGCCTCAGATACGCTCCGCAAGTAACTTGACCGCTTGACTTACATACTCGACGACTTCGCGTAAAACTCGGCGTGACGAAGCGACATTCTGTAATTCTTACACGAACACAATAGCGATAGGAGGTTAATGGGATTGAAACGCAATCTCGGCTCAAACGTAACACTCTTTATTAGTCGACACAGATGTTAGTCGCAAGCGATCGAGGTGTGTTAAGGGTCAGCGAGGTAACCACTCATCATGACGTGTTGCAGTCCAGCTAGCCACGCGTACCGTACCGTCACAGTGTTTACAGCGCTTTGCCCTCGGCTCAGGCATTCTGCGGTGACCTCGTGATCTCACCGATATCCCATCGTCGCTTTATGCACTTCGCGCATAGACACGCACGAGCGCGCACATTCACATGCACTCTTTCTCCCTCCTTTCTCTCTCTCTCTCTCTTTCTCTCTTTTTTTCTCTCTCTTTCTCTCTTTCTGCGCTTCTTGCAACGCGACGAATTATTATCCTAGTTAGACATGAGAGGAAATTGTCTTGACGTGCAGCCCCCAGCCGTATTACATGCAATGTCCGAGTTAATCATCGATCATCGATCGCGACTCCGAGGATTATCCTCGATCGTCCACGTTCCTGCTCAAAGCGTTATGCCTCATCGTCGAGGGAACTTGGATTAATATAATTTGAGACACTCAAAGCTTTGGCGATGTATATTGATATAAGCATTTCAAGAGAGTTCGACTGTCTGCGTAACAGTTTATAGTTCACACTCTGGCGCCATAAGATGAGAACGAGAGGCAGCACTAAATGTGGCGAATCTTATTAATTAAAGTGATTAACGTTCGATTAGGAATAGATATGCGCTGACAATGCACGCTTTCTGTGCGTGCATTTATATACAATTTTTCGAAAACAGTTCGCCCACTGTTTTCACCGCGATCGAGATTAGAGGGAATGCAGCTTCGTCTGTTTGTGGGAATGGTTACGTTCTGTTTTATACGCGCGAGACAAGATCGCACTTGCTGAGAATCAACCCTTTCGATTTGCCATTTTGTACGGATTCGGGTCACCTCGCACTTTTCTTTTACATCGTTCCACCTGTCCCTGTCCACACGTTTCGATATCCCGACACCGCGATCACCGTGTTGTACCAGCTCGATCAGAGACCCGACATGATAATTGATCCGAGTGATCGAGTCTCAAAAGAAATCTGCGAGACAACGTTCGTCCTGATTTTTCATCACGTGGATGAGATCGTCTGTTATTTCTATTTACATGAATAATCTTCAAACAATTAAGAACTTTTGCAATCACCGATAAGAAAATATAGGGTGGCACCGATGATAATGATAACGTAAAAGAACGAAAAGGGAATCTCTCTACGAATGATCCCTATGACTGATTTCCTCTTCCTGCTTTCTGACGTATCTATATCAATCACACGACGATCGCTTGCATTATCGAGGCTGTAGTCTTTTGTGTAGCTCGATCACTGTGACTCATCTCCTCATTGGGTTGGGTATCGATATACCGCTGCGAGGAGTCGCGCAAGGATCGCAGACGAGAGTGTCGCGGGCGGGTGTGTTCACATCGCGAGGTGGAGGGCGTCGTTTAGGTCGCCGTCGTAGCGCTTCGCAGCCATGTCACACGCGCACTGACGGACGTCCGACGTGCCGACGCCGACGCCGACGCCGACGCCGGGACGCTTGCCTTCGGTCGGACTCGGTCCACCATCTCGGGAAGCGTCGGGATGCCCGTGCTGGCATCGCGCCAACATGCGACTAGGCTGGCTCGATCGATTCCTCGGCGGAAGGCGTTAACGCCGCCTTACGAAATCTTGCAACGCGTCATTACGAGATCGCAAACGATTCTTCAAGATTGGCTCGAACCAATACCACTGTCATTTGTATGAAACTTATGACGAAATCGAGTGCAAGCATTAGTGCGCATTGGTGCATAATAAAACTGTTATACATTTAATTTGAGTATAAAAATGAAATTCATCAACTTCGAATTATGAAATACATATTTTACTTAATAGTATAATAATATGTATTAAGTATTTCACGATTTAATCGATTTCTGTTTTTTTACAAATATATCTTTACGTTATTTTGTGTACGACAGTTGTAATGTGCACAATCGCACAGAGTGCGCCTAATCGAATTCGCTCTTAGTCTATGGGATAATTTGATAATAAAATTATTCGAATCTGAAGTAAAAAATAAAAATTCAAAATGGTGCAATGATGGCTTAAATATGAGGGACAGAGAAATTAAAAAATAATTTATAATTTATAAAAATCAATTTCAGGAAATTTTTAATTAGTAAGTAATATTAAACCAAGAACTTTCTAAAATCAAGTTACATGATACTCTGATTATTTCTTTGAAATTTGAATTTTAAAATTTTAAGGCCAGAATTAAATCAGCGACTCCGAAAACTCTTAGAAAACAAGATCTTCTATAAATTATTTTGTTAGAAAGCTCCGGTCTTCAAAGAGTTAAGGAAAGGAAAAATACGAGATAACAAATCCAAGTAAATCCAACAAATTATACCTATTTATCAAAATTCAGGAGTCACAGTAATGAATGCATCGAGATAATCACTTTATCATTAGACATTTAAAGTAAATCTACCGAAAGGCTGCATCAATCATTCGGCGAGATAATATTATCCCTTTAAAAGTTTAAAACGCTTCGAGAGAGATCGAATGTCAAAGTACGCTTCACGGATTAATAAAATTTTAAATAAGAGACGAAAAATAATAAGAGATTCGATTGCCAACATGAAGATGATGACACGAACAAGTGTAGATTATAATCAAGTAACAAACGAGGTTGACACGTAAATTTAACTAACTTTTATCACAGCTTTTACCACAACTTCATCCTACCGCAGTGTACCTAAAATTCCAAAGATAATTAAAACACAATAATGCGAGATCAGTGCAACAAAGTTAAAACTATAATAATCAAGAGAGATTTAATGAAATTGAAGAGTTGAAACTGATAACACTTAATGAAGTGATATCACTTAAGTATCAATTAAATGTAACATTTAATAAAAACAAAATAAAAATTCAGTATCAAAGAAAAAACGGTTTAAAGAATTATAAAGAATATGCATTATTTAAAATGAATATAATTCTTTTGCTATGAGAAAATGTTGCGAAAACAATGATGGATAATGAAAGATAAAAACTGAGTCTTAAAGAAATCAAACGTTGTAGAATTTTAGATACTACACGTTATTCAAAATACTATAATTCTGATAAACGAATGTTGCAAAAGAAGAAGCAATTGTAGATAAGTAAAAAAATAAATATCGATTTTTATCTAGAAATAGATTCGATCGAATCGTCTTCTTCACTACTATTGCCCCTAGTTGCCACGGACGCGTCGAAACGAGCGCGGTAAATGATTTACGAACGACAATGACGTTCATGGCAATAACCGTGCCAAAAGCAGTCTCGCGTGAGACTTTCCTCGAAATGCGGTTCACGACGATTAGACGAACACTCGTTAAAGTCCCATCGTATAACACCCGCGTCAGTCAATGTGGCTCGTTGAGAATTCGATGGCTCCACACGAAAAACAGAAGGGGTGGACAGCGGAAAACAGGGGAGGGAAGGGGTACAAAGAAGAGTGCAAGGTGTTACGCGACTTGCGGTAGCGGAGTGGAGTAGACGTCCATCATCTCATTTTATCTCAGTGTGAAGAGTGACGTCACTGTATGCCAGTATAAAGGAGACTTTAAAAGCGAACAGATGTCTTTTATAGTTGACCATAGACCGTGCCGTCGTTCTCCATTGTACATACTGATCATACTTTACGGAATCGATATTACAAAAAGCGATATTACGCGCTACCATTATTGCGATTTCTGTCGTCGACATCGAGCAAGGGCATAATTCGAAAAGCGACGCTCGTCAAATCTCTGCTGCCGACCTTCCACGATGCAGACTTACATAATCTTAAGCATGAGTGATTGCGCATCTAGAACATCCGTATTCTCTAAAGCTTTTAGAGTGAATCTTACTCTAAAGAATGAAATCTCACTCTTAAAAATTGAAAATTGAGCTCTTTTTTAAATATTGTGGTTCAATTTTTACTTTCTAGAGTGAGATTTCATTCCAAAAAATTTAGGAGAGTATATACATTTGTGCTGATCTTACACGACGTTTGTTACACATCGTTGATGTGACCGAATCTTTCTTGCTCTTTTTTGCTTCATAAGATTCACAAAAGGAAAAAAAGAGGATCTTGCATGGTAAGAATAATTTTGCTGAAGTATTTAAAAATTTGGCTACACACAGATATAAAAATAATTCTGTTGGACTAAATTGTTGAAAATTCGAAAAATTATCGGTGCACAATCATATAACCAGAGAAAGATTTCTTCGAATTAAAGAAATGTTTCTTTGCTATACGGTTATACAAAGAAACATTTCTTTAAATCGAAGAAATTTTTCTCTGGATGTATCTGAAATAAATTAATATGTATTACTCCAATATGATGTAAGAATTTTCAGCGTAATCCGAATTTACTATAATTCAATCAACGATTATTTTACTATATATTATTAGGTGTTGGAATTAATTCGTAGCGTTTTACAAGTGATGGGAAGTACTTTCATTAATGTATTTTTTAATGCTCATGTGAAATAAATAACATTCTTTCATTAAAAAACGCTACGAATTAATTCCAACACCTAATATGTAAAGCGAAATTTGTAATTATACAAATGTCATTATGAGAAGTTTCATTTAAAGATGAATATTAAGAGCGAAGTTCAGTGTGTCTTCTAACAGACGACACAAATGATATGGTGTGAACATTAATTTAATAAAGAACATACATATTCGAAACATCTAACTTGGACCGTATTAGAGTTCTCTCTAATTTTAACATTATTTTTTAATTTTCAACATAAATGGTAATGATGATCCAATAAAATGATTTTTAAATTTGTGTGTATACAATACAATTTTTAAATACTTCAAAATGATTCTTTTCATGGCGAAAAGAAAAATCAGAGCATAAATCGAATATAAGAGGAAATTAACAAAATAAAAATCGGAGTGTATATAAGTCGAATGTAAGGAAAGAGCGACAGAAACGTAAATGAAACTTCTAAGAGGCAAGAATTGAGACAACGAAAAAGAACAGACAACGTAAACATCTCTTTTACATTTCGTTGTCTCAATTTTCGCCTCCTAGAAGCTTCGTTTACGCTTCTGTCGCTCTTCCCTTACATTCGACTTATATACACTCCGATTTTTATTTTTCGCCAGGAGAGATACGAGATTCTCGTAACTTGGACGATATAAAGCGTGAAGAAACGTATACGATGTACCTACGTACGTCCCGCCAATCAGCCACCAAAGGGACTGCATTTTTATATCGGACTTAATTCCCGTTGCAATCGCGAATATTGTGTACGTCGTACGTCAGCGTCAAAAGGCGCGGTTAAGTGCGATCGTTAAAAAGGGTATCTCGTAACTGAGTCGAGTAAGCGGGGACTTTTTCCAGCATTATTTCTTACGACCGGCGAACAGTTTAAATGAAAAGATCCCGAGTAGAGAGAGAAGAAAAGAGAGAAAGAGAGAGAGAGAGAGAGAGATGAGCAAGAACGAGAAGAAACGAAGAAGAAAGAAAGAGATAGAGACAAAGGAGAGAGAAGTTTTATCGCGCAGCCAACAAATAAACGAGCGTACGGCGGAACGGCGTGGAGAACAGGGAGGAAAAAGAGACTGCGTGAAAGTAACGAAAGTACATTTTATTGAGTTCTGGGTGGCTGTGTTGCCCGGTGCAAGAACGTACCTTACAAGTTAATAAATTTCGAAGTTTCCCTCGCGAGAGCAACGGCACGTCTCGGCACCCACCTCCGTCGCTGCTTTTATCCCGACGCGTCGCGCTGTAGAGATTTCACGTTACTGCGAAATAACGCGTCGTCTCCTTTACTAAATCGCATTGCCGAGCGCATTTCACAGCGTACTTTACTCTGTGAATTAATAAAAACGACACCGCCGTATCGCGTAAATCAAGCAGCGAAGTATCACGAGTTACGACCTAATGCGCCATAAAGGTGGCGTTAGCCGTATTAAAAGGCGTACGAAAAATGTGTATGAATTTCACACACAGATTGTTAAATTCATTACGTCTAATTTGAGTTATTTTTCATCATTTCTATATAGGTCGCTACAGCTTCTATATATTCCAATATGTCATTAATTTAAGTAAAATAATGAAGCTGAACGAGCTGAATAGCTTAACTAAAAAAAGTATTAAATTTGACTCAAAGGACTCCGCACAAAATCACGGGTTTTTTGGTCCTCTGATAATTGGCTTAAACTATAGTATGTTATAATATTAAGAATCTTTATTTTAAACGCATATATAAGAAACATAATCAATACTAGAAATTTAAAATGCCTATTACAGTCGAAGCTGGATCTTCATCGCTTTAAATAATTCAATCTTGAATTGCATATATATCATATTATAGTCTAGCCTTCGACCGTAATAAGCATTTTAAATTTCTAGTATAATATGTTATAGTTTGAATGCATAGAATAATGAGATAAATTCAGCTGATGTAAATAAAATACATAGTTGATTTTTTCAAAAAGTTATGC